ACGCTGTCCACAGCAGCTGTCGTCTGAGGAACTTGGTGACTAAGAGGCAGTTGCCATATGCACCCACAGGAAGCCTAATGTGTGTGTGTGGGGGGGGGAGTCTGTTTTAAAAGGTGCAGAAGAGTTGCTGGCCCTCCCCACGCCCACTCTCCTCCCTCCTCTTCTGCTCAGGTCAGCTCGGCAAATGCATGCCCTCGGCAGAATCTTAGGACGGTTTTCTTGCAGAAATCTTTTGTTTCTTTGCTTTTGCTATAGGGTGCATTCGCTCACAAGAAATCACCCTCCTTCGATGGGGGGTGGGGTGGGGAGGGGAGGGAGGATAGCCACACTGCAATTCCTTCTCTTCCATTTTCCTCTCAGGATTTTGGGCATGCACACACATGTACCTGGTGTGATTTTCAGGCAGCCAGCTCTAGGACTTGAACAGTGGTCGGCCACGTGACAATCCAGTGCCTTCACCACCACGCCCCCTGCTGGCCCTTTCGCGGTAATCTTAATCCAAGGAAAAGAAAGAGTTAGGACTTCAACGCCACTCACCTCGTGAGCAGGCACTGGGGCCCCAGGGCGAACGCTTCTTGCCTGAATCCTGATGGAGTAGTCCCTTTCCCATTTTACAGATGAGGAGACCAAGCTTTTAGAGAGGTGGAGTGGCCTTCCCAAGATCCCACAGCTGGAGCTAGGGCCCTAACCATCGACGTTCTCATGACTCAGTGAGCTTTTGCCTTTGACCTGCTGATTCTACCACAGTTAATCTCTTAAATTGGGTATCTCTTCTCCATTTCCATAGACACTTGATTTAAGCCTTAATTACCTTTCTTTTTTATGGAGGGGGATTTTTGCTATAGGGCGTGTGTGCTTGCTGCAGAGACAAAGAGACAGGGGCGATGGTCACACCACAATCCTTTCTCCTCTATTCTCCTCTTGGGATTTGGGGTACATACACACATACCTGGCACGAATTTTAAGCCTCCAGGTCTGGGACTCGAACTGTGGTCAGTCATGTGGGAGTCTAGCGACATAACCATTATACCATCTGCTGGTCCTTAATTATATTTCATTTGAACTACTCCAGTTGTCACATTCCTGTTGACTACACCAATATTTCAATGTTCCAGCCCACTTTTTCATTTCTGGTAAACTTTGTTGCTTATAAGACAAAGGTGGCCATGCCATTTTACTGCTAATAAATTCCTGTCTCTTTCTTACTAATTTATGATATAAAGTCTAAAGCCTTTAACTTAGCACATAGGTTCTGAAACAGACCCTACCATACTTGTGAGTCTGCCCTCCACATACTCTTAAATCATACTACTCTCCTGAAGATACCCAAAACCTGTCTTCTTCCTTCTATTTGCCTTCTACTACTCATCCATTAAATTGTCACCTTCTCTCCTAAAACTTTCTGGACTCTGAAACAAAATCAGTTGTATATTGAGCCAGCAGGTGGCATGGTGGTTAAGGTGCTGAATCCCACATGGCCAATTCTGCAGTTCCAGTTCTAGACTCTGTGGCTTGAAAGACATGCCTGGCATTCGTGCCTCAAATCCAGAGAGAAGAATGGAGGAGAAGGGACTGCTGCATGGCCATCCCAGCTGGGGAGTGATTTTTCACACTCCACCCCCACCTCCAATCTCTCTCTGGCGAGCACATGTGCACTACAACTTTACTCATATTTCATTTAGAGAATTAACTTTCTGATTATTATTTTATATGTCCCTAATCTCACAACAAATGAGCTCCATGGAGACAGATAATTGCATTTATATTTGTATCTTTAGAACTTGAAACATATGGACATTGAATGTTCTCATTAAACATTTGCTGAATGAATGAATGAATGAATGAATGAATCCAATAGGTCTGGAGAAAAGACCAGTATAAAATGTTATTAGAAAACCTGCTGAATATGGAAAGACAATTCTAACCAGTCATAAGACATACACCAAGGATGTCTCAAGACCATCTCATACAGATCAGTATTTTCCTCTCAATCTACACAATAACATATTTTGCATCAGAATGATAAATTACCAGGAAAGTATTTTTACTTATATTATTTCAGCCAGTGTATATATTTATAAATGCCTATCTATTTTATAAGGTAGATATTTCCATTAATTTCATGTAAACCAGTCCACAGATTGTGCCATTTCATGGTTTTCTGTGTGCTAAGTAGCTCTCACCTATTTATATCAATCCATATGTCTGAAATCAGGTCACAACCTAAGGAAAATTCTCTCTGGAAAGAAATAACGATGCATGGTGCTAGAATCCCAAATGGAATTCATACTGGTTTACAGAGTGTTGACCTGAATATGTCTGCTGTAAGAAGGACTTGTGAAAATTTTGCAAGCAAAAAAAGCCTGATGGGAACCTAAATATCATTGAATATGTCCAAATAGATCATGTAAAATTGCTGTCAGGAGGCCCAATGGTAGCATGGTGATTAAGACACTGGATTCCCACATAGCTGACCAGTTTGTGTCCCAGACATGGTAGCTTGATGCTTATGCTGGGCATGTATACATGCATGCCCAAAATCCTGAGAGGAGAGTGGAGGAGAAGGGACTGTGGCGTGACCATCCCCCTTGTGGGAGATTTCTCACTTTCCCTCTCTCTCTCTCTGTCTCTCTCTAGTTTAAGTGCACATGCTCTATGGGGAAAAAAAAAAAACTTTAAAAAATTTTACTTTCAGACTTTTAAATTTAATATTAGTAAATTCTGTTCAGAATAACAGAATATTAGGCTCCATGTAATTTTCGAAACCAATAATACTGTTCATTTAAGTAGTAAGGCCCTTGCCAACCGTCTTTTTAACTATAGAAATATTCTACATTCTAATATGAAAAGCAGATGTTGATATCTGTAAGTCAAAAAGAATAAGTAGTTGTGAGAGATACATTTGACTATTGCAACAAGTTTATTTCTGTTTCACTTTTATGTATGAAAATAAGTATATTGTACTACCTGGATTTTTTTCTAATTGATAGTCTGATAACTTATTAGAATTATGCATATTTAAAAACTGCATTTTTTATAAGGATGATTTTTTTTTTTCTTTTAGAGGTTTTTGCCTGAAGGCTCATGTGCTCAGCAGAGAAAGAGAGAGACAGACACATTGAGAGTAAAAGTGAGAAATCACCCTCCAGGGAGGATAGCCACACTGCAATTCCTTCTCTTCCATTTTCCTCTCAGGATTTTGGGCATGCACACACATGTACCTGGTGTGATTTTCAGGCAGCCAGCTCTAGGACTTGAACAGTGGTCGGCCACGTGACAAGCCAGTGTATATATTTATAAATGCCTATCTATTTTATAAGGTAGATATTTCCATTAATTTCATGTAAACCAGTCCACAGATTGTGCCATTTCATGGTTTTCTGTGTGCTAAGTAGCTCTCACCTATTTATATCAATCCATATGTCTGAAATCAGGTCACAACCTAAGGAAAATTCTCTCTGGAAAGAAATAACGATGCATGGTGCTAGAATCCCAAATGGAATTCATACTGGTTTACAGAGTGTTGACCTGAATATGTCTGCTGTAAGAAGGACTTGTGAAAATTTTGCAAGCAAAAAAAGCCTGATGGGAACCTAAATATCATTGAATATGTCCAAATAGATCATGTAAAATTGCTGTCAGGAGGCCCAATGGTAGCATGGTGATTAAGACACTGGATTCCCACATAGCTGACCAGTTTGTGTCCCAGACATGGTAGCTTGATGCTTATGCTGGGCATGTATACATGCATGCCCAAAATCCTGAGAGGAGAGTGGAGGAGAAGGGACTGTGGCGTGACCATCCCCCTTGTGGGAGATTTCTCACTTTCCCTCTCTCTCTCTCTGTCTCTCTCTAGTTTAAGTGCACATGCTCTATGGGGAAAAAAAAAAAACTTTAAAAAATTTTACTTTCAGACTTTTAAATTTAATATTAGTAAATTCTGTTCAGAATAACAGAATATTAGGCTCCATGTAATTTTCGAAACCAATAATACTGTTCATTTAAGTAGTAAGGCCCTTGCCAACCGTCTTTTTAACTATAGAAATATTCTACATTCTAATATGAAAAGCAGATGTTGATATCTGTAAGTCAAAAAGAATAAGTAGTTGTGAGAGATACATTTGACTATTGCAACAAGTTTATTTCTGTTTCACTTTTATGTATGAAAATAAGTATATTGTACTACCTGGATTTTTTTCTAATTGATAGTCTGATAACTTATTAGAATTATGCATATTTAAAAACTGCATTTTTTATAAGGATGATTTTTTTTTTTCTTTTAGAGGTTTTTGCCTGAAGGCTCATGTGCTCAGCAGAGAAAGAGAGAGACAGACACATTGAGAGTAAAAGTGAGAAATCACCCTCCAGGGAGGATAGCCACACTGCAATTCCTTCTCTTCCATTTTCCTCTCAGGATTTTGGGCATGCACACACATGTACCTGGTGTGATTTTCAGGCAGCCAGCTCTAGGACTTGAACAGTGGTCGGCCACGTGACAATCCAGTGCCTTCACCACCACGCCCCCTGCTGGCCCTTTCGCGGTAATCTTAATCCAAGGAAAAGAAAGAGTTAGGACTTCAATGCCACTCACCTCGTGAGCAGGCACTGGGGCCCCAGGGCGAACGCTTCTTGCCTGAATCCTGATGGAGTAGTCCCTTTCCCATTTTACAGATGAGGAGACCAAGCTTTTAGAGAGGTGGAGTGGCCTTCCCAAGATCCCACAGCTGGAGCTAGGGCCCTAACCATCGACGTTCTCATGACTCAGTGAGCTTTTGCCTTTGACCTCTGGAAAATCCTGGGATGAACCAAGGCCCTTTCTATTCAGTCAAATGGTCCGGAAGGATGAAACGCCTTGACAGGGGACCCTGAGAAGGTCGGGAAGTCTGTCTGCTCGTGGTATTTTTTGGAGGGCAGGTTGTGGGTGGGAGGTGCAGAGAACAGCCCAGCTCTCATGCATACCTGCCTTCTCCTCATGCTCACTTCCTCGTGCCTTCCTGCAGGTCTGGGTAGACGCTGGGACACAGATCTTTTTCTCCTATGCCATCTGCCTGGGCTGTCTGACCGCGCTGGGAAGTTACAACAATTATAACAACAACTGCTACAGGTGAGCATCCGCCAGCCTGCCGGCCCTGCACCAACCACCATGGGCCCCTCACTGCCGGGCTGCCGCATGGCTGTCTGCCCACCTTGCAGGGCTGGGAGGAGACGGTGGGCTGGTCGTGGGCTTCCCCTGCCCACGAGCCTAAGAGCAGGCCACCAGGAGAGCGAGGAGAAGGACAGGTGTAGTCAGAATCCGTTCCAGACCCGCAATCCCGTCCAGACCTCAGTGTCACCGGGTGGCGGTTTTCTCCCGGGGTGGGTGGTCTACTTGTCCCCAGTGACACGGCTTGTACATGGTGAAGCCGACTCTTCAGCCCCGGGCTCTGACACTGAGTCTTCTGTCTTTGATTCAGAAACCTGCTTCCTGTCCTCTCTCACTCAACTGTAAGGTCCTCCCCTAGCCTTCCTGGAGTAGCCAGTGCCCACCTTGCCCGTTGGCCTCTCACCCTTCCTGCCCTGCTGTGATGGGCCACGTCCGGGGCTGGGAAGGGGTCCAGGTGGGGAGTTGCACCCCAGACTGCCTGGCCTCTCGTGCTTTGCATCCCGAGTTTACAGCACAGCTGAGACCCACCGAGGTCAGGGGTTGCCCAGGGTTGCCCAGCAGTGCACCATGAGAGTGAGATTTGCACCCTGGTCTTGTCCAGAAGGACGGGCTGTTTGCTAAGGTCTCTACATCTTTAACTCAGGGCCTGGTGACTAGGTGGGTGTTTCATGGTGGATGGGCTGCCTGGCTCTCCCCTGGAGTCCCGGAGTGCCTTCCACAGGGAAGAATGACAGTGAAACCATCCCTGACTGCAGAGGAGCTCAGAAAGGAAGTGGTTTCAACACCCGATTCCGAGATAGGATGAGGGATAATCAAGGGAGAGCCTCACCCCTACTCCAGTCAGACTGATGAAAGAATGAAATGTTAGGGACCAGTGGATGGCCTAATGGTTGTCGCTGGACTCCCACATGATCAACTGCCATTTGGGTCCTGGACCTGGTGGCTTAAAACTCATGCTGAGTGTGTGTGCGTGCACACCCAAGATCCCGAGAGGAAAATGAAGAAGGGATTGTGGTGTGGTCACCCCCCATGAGGGCTGATGTCTAGCTTTCTGTCTGTCTCTCTGGCAAGCCCATATGCCCTATAGCAAAAATATTTCTAAAAAAAAAAGAGAGAGAGAGACATTGCAAAGGAAGAAAATGACACATAAAAATCTAGAACTTCTAGAACTTTCGAAAACCATTCATCTGTTCTGTGACTAGAAAGCCAGAGGTAGAGAGAAAGCTTTTTTGCTACCTAGACTGACTAGAAAGTCTCAGTATTTTGTTTTAATTTTTTTGAGTCTTAGTACATATTGCTTTTATAATAAAAACAGAATTAAGTTAATACAGATATCATCTCTACACTTTCTTATACTATATCTTCAAATATTGGGTCATTGGCGAAGTCATGACGCATTTTGGCATAGAAAAACAGGTCATGACTTTTTTTTTTTTTTTGGAGAGGTTTTCACTACAGGGCGCGTGCGCTCACCAGACAGACGGAGAGAGACAGAGAGACAGAAAGCGAGAAATCACCCCCCCGGGGGGATGGTCACGCCACAATCCCTTCTCCTCCATTCTCCTCTCGGGATCTTCGGCACGCATGCACACGCGCCTGGCGTGAGTTTTAAGCCACCAGGTCCGGGTTGCAAACCGCGATCGACTACGTGGGAGTCCAACGACATAGTTATCATGCTAACTGCTGGTCCCCACGTCATGACTTTTTTGACTACCAATAGAATAATAAAAATCTTTGGGTCAGCAGGTGGCATGGTGGTTCTGGCTCCCACGTGGCCAACTGTGCAGTTAGACTCCCGGACTCCTGCAACTTGAAAAATACACTGTGCGTGTGTGCATTTATGCATGCCCAAAATCCTGAGAGCAGACTGGAGGAGAAGGGATTGCAGCATGGCCATCTCCTGTTGGGGGGAGGGGGGGCGGGGGGAAGGACAAGGAAGGGAGTGATTTCTCAGTTTCCCTTTTTTTCTGTCTCTCTCCAGAGAGCACACACACCCTATAGCAAAAAGAAAAGAAAAAAGAAAAATCTAAAATATCAAAGCACCCACTAACAACACATAATACATTACTCAGGGAGTTTGTATGTAAAGAACACAGATCACTATGCAAAGCACTAAAGCATTGATAGAAAAATCAGCAACTGGGACCAGCAGTTGGCGTAATGGCTATGTCGCTGGACTCCCATGTAGTCAACCGCGGTTCGAGTCCCGGACCTGGTGGCTTAAAACTCCGGCTGGGCGCATGTGTGTGAGTGCCCAAAATCCCGAGAGGAGAATGGAGAAGGGATTGTGGTGTGGCCATCCCCCTGGTGGATGATTTCTCGCTTTCTGTCTCTCTGTCTCTGTCTGGTGAGCGCACGCACCCTGTAGCAAAAACCTCTCCAAGAAAGAAAGAAAGAAAGAAAAATCAGCAACCTGCCCTTAGAATCGTGAGACTGTTTTGCCATGTAGGAACTTGGCAGCCGTCTAAGAATGAATCCTGCCTGACTTGGCGAGGGTGCATTTGAGAGCCACGTCGCACCTGCTGGGAAACAACCCAGATGCGCAGCCATGACCTCGGTTCTGTGGGCTCAGGCTCATGCGTGTGAAAAAATGTCTGTAAGGGACCAGCAGTTAGCATAATGGCTATGTCGCTGGACTCCCACGTAGTCGACTGCAGTTCGAGTCCTGGACCCGGTGGCTTAAAACTCACGCCGGGCGTGTGTGCGTGCGTGCCCAAGATCCCCAGAGGAGAATGGAGGAGAAGGGATTGCGGCGTGGCCATCCCCCCTGGGGGGTGATTTCTCGCTTTCTGTCTCTCTGTCTCTCTCTGTCTTTCTAGAGAGCGCACGCGCCCTATAGCAAAAACCTCTTCAAAAAAATAAATAAATGAATAAATAAGTGCAGAAGCCCTCCCACACAATCCCCATCTTTGGGACGGGAAAATCGACGCTCGTGGAGGGGGTCCCCAGCTGCCCTCTGACGAAGCCTCCCGATGTCCGTCGGGCTCTCTGCTCTGACCTCTCTGGAAGCCCGCTTGGCGACCGCTGTGTGAAGTCAGCACTGCCGAGTGTGAGACGCTGCCGTGGACTGTGGGAGATCCCGCCTGGAGTGTTTGGAGTTTGAGGAAACTGAGGCACAGAGGAAGTCAAAGTGGGTGGTTCCAGCGTGCTAACAGAAAGAGCTGCCGTGGGAGCCAGCGTGCCACGGGGCAGTGGGCTCTGTGTTTCCTGGGGGTCTTTGAACTGAGAGATAATTGGGTCTGGCTGGACAAACGGATGCCAAAGAGATGATGGGTCGGACCCGCTTGTGTGTGACCCGTTTTATCTCCCAGGCTTTCAGAGAGGAGAGGGGCTGGGGTAAGCCTAGGGCGTACCAGCCCTGCTAACCAGGGGAGGAGGAGAAGGGCCCTGGCTGGGAGCCCCGTAGCAGGCCGCCAGCTAGGGCTGCACATGACCCCGGGGGTCAGTAGCTGGCGGTCGGCACAGGCCCTCTGTGCCTGCAATGCATGGGGCTCTCAGGTCACCTCCAGCTAGGCTGCAGCTCCACGAGCACAGAGGCGGGGGCTTCCTGCTCTCCGCTGCGTCCCTAGGACTCGCCCAGGAACTAAGAAGGAGGCTCCCCATGACGGGCGAGGAGACCGTGCAGTGGATGAGGAGGCTCGCTCGTCTGCTGTCCTCACTCACGGCCTTGACTCAGCTGCATCTGGTTCAGGGGCAGTTCTTCCCCCTGCGTCTACAGGGGGACATGCTGGCCACCGGGGATCCCTGCACCTCTCCTGTCCAATAGGCCATTGTTGTTTCATTTTTTCCTCTTCTTTCTTATCATGAGAGAAAAAGCCAATCCCCTGGGTGACGCTGCAAAATCCAAAGGTTGGTTTTATTTCCGTTTCCAAATTGTTCTGCAAGTGGGTCTTCTCCACTCAGCGGAGTAAATTAGAGCCCTCTCTGCTGACAGCATAATAGCCCCGGAGGTCTTAAAAGCCCAGCTCAGCTCCCGCAGACTTCAAAGCACACGTTACATAAGCCTTCCACCTAGGAGGTGCCTCGCAGTGCCCAGGGAAGGAATTGGAGGGGAAGGCGTGGAGACAGCAAGCAGGGGAAGTCCTCACGGCAAGAGACACGCTGCTGAGCTCTCTGAGCTCGTCTGCTGGAAGGCGCGGGTCCCTGGCAGGGCCGGGGGACAGGTCAAGGCTGGGAGAGAGCCCGGATCTCTGGAGTATCTGTCCCTGCTCCTGTCTGTGGTGTGAGAAAGTCAGTTGAGAGGCTATGGGAAGATGGGGATTTTGAAAAAAGGGATATTTGCTTTTCAACACCGAACGGATGCCCAGAGATAATTGTCCAAAAGTCAGGGTCTGGAGGTCTTCCTTCGGAGGGTGCATCGGTTTTGTTTAGCTCTGAGGAAGAGCATGAGCTTTGGTTTCAGGGGCATCTGGACTGACATTCCCAACTTCAGCAATGACCGGCCGTGCGACCTTGAGCAGTGACTCCCCTTCTCTGAGCCTAATGCAAGGATGGTCTTTGGAGCATGATGCAAGAGCTGTGGGAAGTAGACGAGGTAGAGAAAAAGCTTTCTCCCCAGCCACCTTTTCCTGCTGTTGGCTCATTCAGGGCCACTTTGCCTCGGACTGCAGGAAGCAGGCGTGAGGAACAGCTTTACCCCAGCCTGGAAATCACTCTGCCCTCACCTGAGCTGAGCTGAATTTCCTTTGGAGCAAAAGCAAGTCAGCCTTGAAGACCTAGCCCTGAGGTGTATCTGGCCTGCCAGTGCCACGGGAGATCTTGAATGGGACCTGCATCAGGCAGCCCTGCCACGCAGATGCTGTGTAACAAGCGGACCCAGTGCTCAGGGGCTGACCACACAGCTTTCGCTTGTACTGTTCACAAGACTTCAGGGCCACTGGGGGAACTCACTTTCAGGCTGTAGGTTGGGGAACTTGGTTCTAGGGCCCTAGCCCGGCTCAGGTTGGCACCACATGTACATATTCTGGGGTCTGGACTGAAGGGCCAGCAGCTCCCCAGGGGAAGTTCTTCTCATGGAAAGTCACAGAAACAATAAAGGACAAGTCCAGTCATCTCTGCACATCTCAAGCCTCTGTTTGTGTCATATCTGCTAACATCTCGTGTCCAAGGCAAGTCATGTGTCTGACTCCCAAGTCAGCGGGGCAGGGAAATATACTCCACCCCCAGAAAGAAGGTGGGGGAGTGGTTTCTTACCGAAATGACGTGATCTGGCAAAAGACCCAAGCGCCTTGCTATCCAGACACTGATAGCCCCAAAGAAAAAAATATGACCTGGAGAATTGGAGGTCCACGCCCTTGCTCTCTTCACTGTACCCTTAAAAGGCAGCTGGGTGTCACGATCACCAACCGTGTTCGTGTAACCTTTGGTTGCGTTATGAAAAGTATGGTGTCAGGAGGAGAGGAGGTGAGAGGCCCGTTCAGCCCTGGATGGGCTCACAGAAGAGGGGCGGGATTAGCTGTGGTGTGTGCAGATCGCAAGCGCAAGGAGAAACTCGGAAGGGCCTGAGACATTTAGCTGGGAGGACAGAACTGAAGGACTCTGGGGCCGCCGTCTCAGATCACTGAGGCCTGAAGTTGTTCCAGACTGTTCAGGAGGCCAAAGCAAAAGCTTACCAGGAGCGGCGGATTCTGATTCTATACATGAGGAAGTTCCCTACGCAGGACTGAAGCGATGACAAGCTCCTGTTCCCTGGCGAGTCTGCGGGGCCAGCTGCCCTGCAGGGATGCTGTGAAAGTCGGTCAGACTCTGGCAGGAGTTGGGACCAGGTCACCTGGGGGCCCCTCCTCTTAAAGCGGAGCACCGACATGTATCACACACCCCTCCCACATCAGGCTCTGCAGTAGCCGAGGTTCAGAGAAGCTCATTCCTGATGGTGTCAGGCCTGCCAGTACCACAAGAGATCTTGAATGGGACCTGCATCAGGCAGCCCTGCCACTCAGATGCTGTGTAACAAGCAGACCCAGTGCTCAGGGGCAGGGTGCCCAGCCTGCAGTGGAGGAGCTGGGACCTGAGGGCACCGGGCTCTCTATCACGACAAGGCTCCTTTGTTTGTAGTCTGGTTCCCTGGACTGTGGGCTGATGCTGCTGCTTCTCCGCTGAGTCCTCCCCAAGAGTGGAGGGCAGCCCCTGAGCTGGTAACCTCCGTCAGGGTCTGACCTGAGTGAGGCTGCTCCTTGCACAGCCGAGACAGCAGTGAAGTCTGAAAGATACTGCTCGGGTACTAGCCTGGCCAGGACAGGTGTCACCATGAAGTCTTTCCCCCTGGAGGCTGCTGGGAGCTTCAGGAGTGCAGAGCGCAATTGCACCCCTGGCCGAGAGGCAGCCCTTTCTCACACAGAGGTGTCTCCCGCCCTCCTCACTTTGAGCTCCCAGGAATACCACCCTCTTGCTTTTCCTGGCGTCCCTTACCCAGGACATGGAGGAGTACCACCCTGTCTCCAAGTATTTTTTCACCAGTTCCGCCTTTTCCCATGTGCCAACCTGCCTGCCTTCCCATCCCTTTTCCATGCGTTGGGTCCATTTTACCTCATCCTCTGGAAATGCAGGAGGTGCTGTGTGACCACGGGCCAGCCACCTAAGCTCTCTGAAGCACAAATTCTCCATCAGGAAAATGGAGCTGCCTGAGCCCTCCCTGCCCTATCAGCTGCTCAGGACAGCCGTGGCCGCGCTCGGGTGCAGGATGCCGTGGTCCGCACCGTCCCACCCACGCTGACCTGCCCGCCTCTTGCTGCTTCCCCACAGGGACTGCATCATGCTCTGTTGCCTGAACAGCGGCACCAGCTTCGTGGCCGGGTTCGCCATCTTCTCGGTCCTGGGCTTCATGGCGTACGAGCAGGGGGTGCCCATTGCAGAGGTGGCAGAGTCGGGTGAGTTCGCCGAAGGCCCAGGGGGAGCCGGGAAGCCTCGGGCAGTTGTTATAACAAAGCATGATCTTCCTCCTCAGCTCAGTCATCTGCGAGGTTTGGGTCTCAGGAAACGCACTCCTACCCCGCTCTATCCATAACCTTGGGTCCTGGGTGTGGCCTGGGAGGGGACGTTGACACCTCCTCCTTCTGGAAGCCAAGCGTCCTCGGGTTCTGTGGGCTCTGCCTTCTTGGTAATGGCCCACTACACCCACTTCTCCCAGCTCCAAGGCCCAGACCACCATCGCCGCTCAGCTGTGGCTGCGTGAACTTGTCACTAACTTCCTGCCTCCACTGCTGTCCCCTGGTGTGTGTGTGTGTGTGTGTGTGTGTGTGTGTGTGTGTGTGTTTTCAAAATGCAAATCTGAATGTGGCCTGTATTGAAAAGCCTTCTGTGGCTTCTCCTAGTGCCAAACTCCTGGCCTGGCCGCGAGGCCCCATATTGCTCCGCTCCCCAAGTCTCACCCCACACCTCATTCCCCAGGCTCACTCTGCCCTACCACAGTGATTCTCAACATAACACACCTGCCCCTACCGCAGGGCCTTTGCACATGCTGTTCCCTCTGCTTGGCGTACCTCCCTCCCTTCCTGTGTTCTAGATGCACTGCGAGTGTGACGGCCGTGAATGCAGATTGACATGTGTTTGTATGGAACCCACCAGGAGCAGGGTGGTGCAGGATGGTGAAAAGCTTCCCTTGGTTTACTTGGTGCTTGAATCTCCAAAAATAAATAAATAAATCAGTGTATGGAGAAGCGTACACAAATGGTTTGTGTTTACATGGCAAGTGGAGTCAGATTTACCTCAAATAAACATGAATAGGCTTCTCACCTGCAGGAATGTCCAGCAGGACAGTGGGGCAATAGCAGCACTGCAGGTCCAGCCTCCCTGGTCCCATCTGCCCCATGCGAGTCACTGTGCCCTTCCCCAGGACAACCACACTGTCACCCTGCAAGCTCTGGTCCTGGGGTGGCTGGGTTTTGGGGATGCACGGTCAGAAAATCACCCCTTCAGCCCACCACCAAGGTGGGCCAGTGGGCATGGGCACGAAAGCAGCAGATTCCCGAGCTCTGCTTCATGGTCCCTCAGAGTCCCCCTTCCTCTTTATCATGCTCGTTAGACACAGAGACAGCCCCTGCTGAAGGCAGGGGTCCCAGAGCTAGACCAGAGGGAGTTCATGCAGCCAAAGCTCTCACTTGGGGAATTACTCCGGGCTGAAACCGACTCGCACAAGATCTCACCTGACCCTTAGCTCATCCTTCGGAAATGGCACTTTTGTGAAACTACATCCCCACTCAGCCAGATTGGTCATCGCTCATTTTCCCTCAGGATTGAGAGGTTTCCTTAAGAATACAGGGGACTGAAACTGAGCAAGGACCCCCACCCCTAATGTATTTTCTAAGGTTCTTGTAATGGCCCAGAATAAAAAGTAAGTCTTCAGACTTTTGATTATGATCATGACCAACAGGGACCATAAATGAGGGCCATTTGACCTCAAACTCTCACTTAAAGGGAAGATAAGGTTCTTACTTCAGTATGTAAGATGTTTTATAGGCTGGGAACTGCTGGTTGTGAGCTCAAAGACTCCAGGCTGGATGGCTCCAGACACTTAAAGAGAAATTTGATTATCTACGGCCTCACCAATCAAGAATGCCCATGAGATGATCACGCCCTCTTGAACCAATCACTGGACTGATCATGCGCCTGGGACCTCTGCCTCTAATTTTGCCCTTAAAAATGCCTGTGGGGAACATCTCAGGGAGACTGGGTCTTTTCAGCATGAGCTGCCTGCTCTCCTTGCTTTGAGCTTTGCAATAAAGCTGTACTTTCCTTCATCCACAAAAAAACAAAAAACAAAAACCAAAAAACGAGAGAAAGAGAGAGATGAGGTGCGCAGGCTCAAAGTGATAGAGCTGGGACTTAGGCCAGCCAGCTCTTGAACCCATGCTCTGGCTCCTCCATCCCCCTGCTCACTGTACGCTTCAAATAGGAGAATAGGAAAAGACAAAAATTATCTCAGAAATCAAGATTAAGTTCCAAGGTGTCCAATGAAGAAGGGTCTCGATAAGGAGCATTAAAGAAAGTCAGAGAACAACCAAGTGAATGGCAGCGACGTTAAATAACAAAGTAAAAATGACCCCCCACCCCAAAGAGGAAATGGAATACAGGCAAAGGGGATATCATATTTCATGTTATTGGAGTTTTGAAAAAGGAGTAGAGGCAATCTGAAAACTACAATGAAAGAGAACTTCTCAGAAGTAGATAAAGAGCTGAATCTATACAGTGAAAGGACCCTTCCGTTACTAGGGACAACTTACCCAGAATAATCAACTCAAGACACCCTAGTAACACTCTGAGCTTGCAGAGATAAAACCCTCCAGGTTTGCGGAAGATCAAATAACTTATAAAGGCAAAAGGCTTAGACTGGCTTCGTACTTTTCAAAACCAACACACAGAAAAACAAAGCAACAATGGAGAAGCATCTCTTAAAAATTCACAAAAAGAAAGTGCGGATCAAGGATTTAATATCCACCCAAGAGTTCTTCAAATAGCAAAGCCATAGAAAATCCATTTTCACTTTATAAGAATTTAGGGCATTCTGCACTCATCCAGCCCTTGGGGGCGTCAACCAGAGGACAAGCCTCACCCAACACAAGAAGCAGAAGCTTCCAAGGAAGGATTGATAGCCAACACTGGCAAGTATCTAACTGCACCCTTCAGGCCAAAGCCAAGGGGGAAGAGGGAGACCAATGAAGAGATGTCACATACTGTCACAAAGCAGAAATGGTTCAACTAAAAGCAGAAAGGAAGGGAAATGGAAAGAAGAGATAGAAACAAACAATTAGATCAAGTGTGCTAGTAGCAATACAAAAAATGAAGGACTGAAAATGAATCCATTTGAAAAACAAGAAAACAACCAATCAGATGAATAGAAATCATAAGGAAGAAAACAATATAGAAAAAAGAAAAAGCAAGTGGAGCAGAGAACTAATTAATTAATTAAAATCTTGTTTAAAAAGCTAAAATAGACAAATCACCAATCAAGAAAAAAAAAAGAGAAAATATCCAAATAGCAAAGTAAGAAGTGGTAGGGATTGTTTTTAATCATGACACTACTTTGTAGACTTCTCTGCACATACATTTGAAAACCTACATGAAATAATATTTTTCTATGGAAATACAGGTTAACAAAAGTGACTGTATTTGATTTAGAAAGCTTAAACAATGCAGTTTTTAAAAATGTTGCCAAAGGGCACATACATTCACCAGAGACAGAATGAGTGAGAGGAAAAGAAAGTGAGAAAGCACCTTTCATGAGGGATGGTCACACCACAATCCCTTCTCCTCCAACTCTCCCTCTTTTCAGGATTTTAGGCACACACACACACACACACACACACACCTGATGCGTCTTTCAAGCTGCCATGCCTGGGACTCGAACTGCAGTGGCTCATGTGGGATCCTTAACCAGCACACCACCAGCTGTCCCAGTAATGTAATTTTCATCAAAGAAATAGACAATGTTATTGAGGAATTACTTGACCAAAAAGAAAAAAGAAAATCACCATGTTCAGATGGTTTCATGAAAGATTTCTACAAACCTGCTATGACCAAATAATGCCAGTATTCTATAAATTATTCTGGAACATATAATGAAGGAAAACCTCCTAACTCCTTTCAGGAAACCTAAATAAAGCTGATATCTAGATCGAATAAAAAACAATAAAACAATATAGCGAAATACTACTATAGACCAATGTCACTCATGCATATTGATAGACACATACTAAATAGAATACTAGAAAACAGAATCCAAAATCACTTTAAGGAGGTCGTATACCATGGTCAAGAAGGATTTATACCAGGACTAATTCAAGGAAGGGAAGGGAAGGGAAGGGAAGGGAAGGGAAGGGGAGGGAAGGGAAAGGAAGGGGAGGGAAGGGAAAGAAAACCTATTAATATTATATACCATGTTAATAGAATATTATATACCATGTTAATAGAACTAACAAGAATCACAAGATTACCTTACATAGATCCTAAAAAGTCTTTGACCAGTTTTAATACCCATTTACAATTAAAAACAATTTTTAAAGGTTTCTTGCTATAGGATGCATGTACTTGCTGGAGAGAGACAGTGAGAGGAAAAGTGGGAAATCAGCCCCCCTGAGGTGAGGGCCTTGCCTCTTCTCTTCCATTCTCCTCCTGGGATTTTGGGCATGCATACACATGCACCTAGCATAATTTGTAAGCCACCAGGTCCAGGACTCGTACCATGATTGACCATGTAGGAGTCCAGCACCTTAGCCACTCTACTACCCACTGGCTCCCATAGTTTAATTTTTAAGGGACCAGCAGACGATGTAATGGTTACATTGCTGAACTCCCATGTAGTCAGCCACAGTATGCATTCCAGACCAAGTGGCTTAAAACTCAGGCTGGATGCATTTGCATGAATGCCCAAATTCCTGAATGGAGAGTGAAAGAAGGGATTGAGGCATGATTTCTCACTTTCTGTCTCTCTGTCTCTCTCTGTCTCTTCAGTGAGTGCACATGCCCTATAGCAAAAATCTCTCTAAAAGAAAAAAAAAAGTTCATGGAATTAAGGTATAAGTTTATTTTTATACAGTACACTTTTGAAATCCACACATAGTTTTTTCATAATACGTATTTTCTACGATGTTTTTGGAGACTCCTTTTGTGCTAAAGCTCACAGTTTTAATGTCTGTAAAGACAGATATAGGAATATATGAGCGTATACGTATGAGTAAATATACGTAGATCTCCTAGCTTTCTGTGCCAAGGAAGACTGACTATAGGCAATGATACTCTGGTTACAAGCACACCTAGGGCCCTGAGCTTGGTTTCTAAACACCATTCTCCAGTAAAAGAAACCAGATCTCCTTGAAGAAGCAGATGATTCCAGTTCTGGGGCAGAACAGGATGAGGCTACATTTTTGTGGTGCCAAAAAATTAGAGAGTGCTCAAACACAAGATGGAGTCATATTGAAATGGCACAGGAAACAATCTAAAGGAACTCCCAGTACCAAAGCTGGGACCATTAGAACGGCAACATAAATAATGATTGCAGTGGGTTATGACCTAGAGAATACACTAACTAACCCAAAGTCTATACTAATATAAATAAATAATGAAACAAACAAATGAAGGTGAAGGGACAGATGTGCCTTCCAGGATAATTCTAGTTAATAAATGTAGAAGAACTGAGAGGCATTCCAAATTACCATTAGGCAAGCACCATAGGAATAATGGTTGCAGGCAAGATCCACCAACAGATGCTAAAATCAATGGGTAAAAGTTTGAGTAGGATCAAGATGTTTTCATAACCTCAAAATAGTCCCCCTCCAAGATATTTAAGAATTCCAAAGAGGAAAAGAGTGTTGTCATCATGGAGAAACTGGGCAGACCCCAACTAAACCAAGCAATCAAGGGGGATAACGATCAATTGACATGTACCCTCTGATATGATACTGAGAAGGACACAGTATTGCTGCCTTTGTCTTTCCCCAAAAAAACCAGCATAACCTCAGTCTAATCATGAGAAAACGTTAGACAGACCCACATTAAGAGACATTCTGCAGGGACCAGCAGATGGTGTAATGGTTACGCTGCTGGACTCCCACATAGTTGACCACAGTTTGAGTCCCGGACTCGGCGCCTTGAAACTCATACCAAACATGTTTGCGTGTGTGCCCAAGATCCTGAGAGAAGAATGGAAGAGAAGGGATCGTGGCGCGGTCATCCCTCCTGGGGGGTGATTTCTTGTTTTCTGTCTCTCTGTCTCTTCAGCAAGCACATATGCCCTACATTCTCAAAATAAAGACTAGTACTCGCCAAAGTGAGTACCGAGTTTATGGAGAGACATGAAAAAAAACTGAGATTGGAAAAGACTAAAGTGATACAACCATTCAAGTGCAACATGGAGTTCTCAACTGGATATTGGAACAGGACATAGGAGAAAAACTGGGAAATATATGTTAATTTACTAGTTATTAAATACCGAAAGTTTTCCTCTAAAATCAGAAACAAGGCAAGGATGTCTGTTGTCTCTGCTTTTATTTCATATGGTATTGGAATTCCTAGAGAGTACAATAAGGCAAGAAAAAATAAAATGAAAAACATTAAGATTGGAAAGAATGAAAAACAGTTGTATTCATAAACAAGATGATGGATCAAGTGGAAAATCTTAAGGAACCTACAGAAAAAGTAGTAAGTGAACTTCATGAGGTCACAGTGTAAAAGGGCAATAAATAAAATTTATTGCAATTCTTATATACTAGCAGCAAACAATTGAAAAATTTTAAATTTCTGCTCTTCACAAAACACCATTAAGAAAACAAAAAGGCAAGCCACAGACTGGGAGAAAATGTTTGTAATACTCCTCTGATAAAGGATTCACACCCTTTAAAACTCAATAAAAAGGAGACAACCCAATTAAAAAAAAATGGACAGAAGACTCAAACAGATACTTCACAAAGAAGATAGATGAATGGACAATAAACATTTGAAGATACTCAATATCATGAGTCATCAGGGAAATGCAGACTAAAACCGTGCTGATAGAACATTTCATGCCCACCATAGTATCTAAGTTTAAGAGACTGATAGTAGCAAGTGTTGACAAGAATGTGGAGCCACTGGAAAGCTCAAACTTTGCTGTTAGGACTGTAAAATGCCAGTTACTTTGGAAATCATTTTTTAGAAAGTTAAACATTTGGTTGTCTAATGACACAGCAATTCCTCTCCTAAGTACTGGATCATCGGAAAAATCATGACTTTTTTTATGACTTCATGACTATGTCATGGCTTTTCCGATGACCCAATAGAATGGGTAAAGCTAATCTAAGGTGAAAACCAAATCACAACAATGATCATACCAAATGCAGGTGGGAAATGGAGGTGGAAAGGCTGTGGAGGAGTCCCAGGTGGGGCAATGTTCTACACCTTGATAACGGTGGTTGTTTGAGTGTAAGCTTTGTTTTAAGGAATATTTATTAAATTATATTTATTATTATTTTATAATCTGACCAGAGAGAGAGAAAGAAAGTGAGAAATCAAGCTGCCATGTTTGGGACTCAAACCATAGTCTGCCATGTGAGAGTCTAGCACCTCAACCACCACACCACCTGCTAGCCCAGTGTAAGCACTTTTTAAAAATTTATTGGACTATACACTTAAAATGGGTACTTATTGTATATAAATTAAACTTAAAGACAACTGCCCTTCAAAGTGAAAAACAAATCATCAGAACCAATGTCTATGTAATATTTACCTTTTTAAGTGCTTTTCACATTCTGCATTATTTCACTGAAGTCTCGAAACTGCCTTATTAGGTAGACCTGTGTTATTCCTGTTTTTTTGGCTTAGGAAACAGAGCTATAGATCACAGTAAAATACAGAAGAATCGGGCTGTAAGAGCCTATGTTCCTGGCCACTGCGTACAGGGCTAGAATCATAGCTATCTTTCTGCCGACATTAAGAAGGTTCATCCTGGGGCTAGCAGATGGTGTAGCGGTTACATCACTGGACTCTCACATGGCCAACCACGGTTCGAGTCCTGGGCCTGGTGCTTAAACCTCATACCAGGCACATGTGCGTGTGTGCCCAATATCTCAAGAAGAGAATGGAGGAGAAGCGATTGCTGCATGGCCAATTGTCCTGGGGGACGATTTCTCACTTTTTCTCTCACTGTCTCTGTCTCTCTCCAGTGAGTGTACACTGGAGGCAAAAACCTCTAACAAAAAGGTTTGAGTGTGGACCTGGGAAGTGAGGGGAGAGCCAGAGGAAGAGGCAGTCTGGGTGGAATAGCCGTTCTCCACACCTGCACCCCTAACTCTCTACAGGAGAACCCCCGGGTACACCTTAGATGGACCAAGTGATCTTGACTGCCCCTTAGATGGAGAAGCTCTGGGTCTGCCCAAGAATCCGCATTTTAATAAACTGCTCCCCGCACCCCATCGTGCTTACTATAGCGATAGGTCTATCCAAAGGAAGGTCCGTGGGTCAGACAGACCTGGGTTTCGATCCTGGCCCTCCCAGACCTTCATTTACCTCTTTCTGCCTCAACTTGCTCATCTGCAAAATGAGTGTTAGAATAACACCAACCACATGGGACAGCCAGGAGACTAGCAATCTGGTGAGGATCGGGTGCGGCTGGGGGCATAGAGGGAGCACCGGGTTAATAAGGGGCTGGATACCACCCAGTGGTTCTCTCTGTCCCTTCCATCCAGGCCCTGGCCTGGCCTTCATCGCCTACCCCAAGGCTGTCACCATGATGCCTCTGTCCCCACTGTGGGCCACCCTGTTCTTCATGATGCTCATCTTCCTGGGCCTGGACAGCCAGGTAAGGGGGAGGTGGGCACTGGGCTGGAGGCCAGGGAGGCCCGACGCTGCTCTTGGGACCGGCTCCCGACCCTGGATGCGGCCTCCCGGCCCTGGGCCCACTGGGTGGGCTCCATAGTCACTCCAACCACACCCGCTGGGGTCCTTCTGAGCCTTCCTGAACACTTTCCTCAGTCAGAATTCCCAGCTCCCAGTCAGGTTTTGAATTCACCAAGTCCTTCCATTTTGCTAAACCACTCCTGCCCCACCAGGACCTGGAAAAGTGGGCTCAGTGAGAACAGGCTGTGGTTCCTGGTGATCAAGGGACACGTCCCTGTCCCCACCAACTCACTCAGGACCTAGGGGCATAGAAAAGCAGCTCTTCTTCCTCCCTCCAGCTCTGCGTCAGGCCCCCTGGCTCCCCAGCACCAAGTCTGTACCCCACACTCCCCTGCTGCCTCTACACCTGTCACCCTCCACTGGCTCAGCCTGACCCAGCTCCACTGGGCAGCCGCCTTCACAGTGAAGGGTGTGGGGTTCGAACTAGCACCCCCCACCCCATGCACTCATTCCCCGTTCCCACCCAGGTGCGTGTGCACTTACCTCTTCTCAGGCTCTAAGCTCACCTGCCTCTCCATCCTCGGTCTCCCTGCCTGAATCCCGCGGCTCCAGTCATAGGCCCTGCTGCTCTGTCACACCCGGTTTCCCTCTGAGCCCCAGATACATCCCAGCCAAAGCCAGTGGCTTACCGTTTACCATCAGATGGGGTCCCTTGGTGGGTCAATGCGACCGAGGACAGAAGGTCATGCAGGCAAGAGGCCAGTGTTGGCAAGGTGGCACGGGCAACGGGTCGGGCTTCCAGCACTCCTGGCTCTCGTCGCAGGATGCCCCCCGCAGCCTGTGGAGGACAGTGCCAGGCTGGCCTGGGGGCTGCTCTCCCTACCTGTGACCTTGTGCAGCCCCTTAGCACCCAGGCCCATGGCTGTCAGCCCAGCCACAGCTAAATCGTCCCCTGAGCGGTTTCCCAGATACGGTTAAGCTGTGCCGCCGGGGCACCGGCTGTGCTCGTCGGCGTCGCTGCCGTGGCCCCGGTTTTTCCGGCTTATAATCTTCCCTTTCATTGTCGCCGGCAGAGGCCTCCGAGGGATCAGGATCAGCGGCTTGTGTGTGACAGAACAGGCCTGCCTGGTGAGGGGGTGGGGGCATGGGCCTCAGCTCAGAAGTCCCTGGGGCCGGCATGTGGGCCGGGGCCCAGAGGTCTGGCACGGGGCCGATAACTCAAGCGCACCGCCCCTGCCATGTGCCTGGGCCACGTCCTCCACTCCCCGGCACAGTAACCACGTGGCTGCAGGCCCCTCATTGGCCCCTTTCACAGAGGCAGACACTGAGGCTCAGAGATACCGAGTGACTGGCTGGAACGGGTACCCAGGTCTCCCTGCCACTTAGTGCATGCGTTCCGTCCTGGATAAGCAGTATGCCCTGGATCCCATCTCCTCTCTTTTCTGGGGACCCTGGAGAAAGCATGGGCAGCCTGGAGGCTGGCAGACAAGGCTTTGGAGCCCAGGGTTCATGACTGGCCCGCTCTGTGGCTCCAGGAGACTCACTCCACCACTCTGGACTTTTCCCTTTCCCCGTACAATGGCGACGGAAACTCCTTTTCAGGAGAGGTAGAAGTGGGGACCAGCAGTTAGCGTAATGGTTATGTCGCTGGACTCCCATGTGGCCGACCGCGGTTTGAATCCCGGACCCAATGGCTTTGGACCCTGGCAGGGGTGGTGTGGTTCATGCCAGGTGTGTGTGTGTGCATGCCCAAGATCCCGAGAGGAGAATGGAGAAGGGATTGCGGCGTGGCTATCCCCCCTGGGGGGTGATTTCTTGCTTTCTGTCTCTCCATCTCTCTCTCTCTTTCTGGCGAGTGCACGTGCCCTATAGCAAAAACCTCTCCAAAAAAAAAAAAAAGAAGAAGAGGTAGAAGTGAATTAGAAAGCAGTTGGGGCCAGGAAATAGCTCCAGGGAAGGAGCCTTCCCACATAACCAGCAAAAGAACCCTTTGCTCCTCCTACCGCCTTCCCTCAAGGTAGTGAGGTACAGTGGTTAAGGCCCAGCCTCCGGGACCCGGTTGCCTGGTTCAAATCCAGGCTGTGCCACCTAATGCCAGTGTGACCTCGGGCTTAACTTCCCTACGCTTCCGTGTCCTCATTTACAAAATAGGGATAATAATAGCACATACCACACAGAGATGAAATAAATTAACATATATTATCTGCTTAGAACGGAGCGTGGCATGGAGCAGGCCCTGGGCGTTTGCTGATACCATCAGTGTAATTATTCATTTAACAAACATTTTCGGAGCTTCTCCTCTGCGCCAGGAGCCTTATGCTAGCCCCTGGAAATAGATGGAAAGGATGGAGGCCCTGCCCCCAGCACTAACCTTCTTCTGAGGACACGGGTATAAACAAGCAGGTCTGGAGGAGACGGAAAGGCTGCTTTCTCTACAGGAGGCAAGGAGGAGTCAGGAGAAGGGTCACACAGGAGATGACCCCAGTGTGAACCAGAGCAGGGAGTCATCGGCATGTTAGGTCTGGACTGGGTGTAGACAGGATAGGAACTGACTGACACAGCGCGCCTGGCCTTGCACTGACCACACGGTACTGAGGCTTATGGCGCAAACTTGGCCATCGGTGCCTGCTCAGCTCGGCTGGAGCCCAAGGACCGCACGGCAGAAGCAGCAGAGCTGGTGGCTGGCTCACTCTCCCTGGCCTCCCTCCAGCAGAAGGGCACCTGCTCCCCAGCTGCAAAGACTGGAGAGCTGTCACAGCCTGGGGACCAGGGCCCGCCTCCAGCAGAGCAGTGCACTCCCAGCACAGCCATGGAGACTCAGGTCTTGCCCCCAAGGCAGGGCTGGGTCTCATTTAAATTGTTGATTCCAGGAGCCAGCAGATGGCATGACAGTTAAGGTGCTGGACTCCCTCATGGTTGACTGCAGTTCACGTCCTGGACCCAGCGGTTTGAAAAACCACACCAGGCATGTGTGCGTGCATGCCCAAAGGAAAATGGCCACGCAGCCATCCCTCCTGGGGAATGATGTCTCACTTTCCCTCTCTCTGTCTCTTTCCATTGAGAACATACACCCTAGGGCAAAATAAATAAATAAATAAATATACAATAAATTGTTGATTCCAGAAAAAGGCCCAGCACGGTGGCATGTGACAGGCAGCATGGGAGGGAAGGAACACTCTACTTGGAGTCTGGAGGCCCCAGTTCAAGTACTGAGTGCGACCTTCTTGCTGAGTGACCGTGGGCAGGTCACTTCCCCTCTCTGAGCCTCAGTGTCCCCCTCTGAGAAATGGGCACCCTGGAGCTCTGCTGGGGCTGGGATTATGGTTGTACTCTCAGCCCTCTGGTGGTGTAGACAGTGTGAGAATGAAAATGAGGCCTGCCGTGGTCGCCCAGGGCCAGGACCACTGAGAACAGTCTCCTGGTGGATTTCCAACCATCGCATCTCCCCCCGACCCAGTTCGTGTGTGTAGAGAGCCTCGTGACCGCCGTGGTGGACATGTACCCCAAGGTCTTCCGGAGGGGCTACCGGCGTGAGCTGCTCATCCTTGCCTTGTCAGTCGTCTCCTACTTTCTGGGCCTGGTGATGTTAACCGAGGTGAGCGATGCGGCTGGTGTGGCATCAGGGTTACGTGCATGCCTTTGGGTTCGGTGGGTCTGACATCAACTCCCAGCGCTGCGTGTGGACTATCTGCGTGGCCTCGGGCAGGCCTAGAACCTCCTCTACTGCTCGGCTCACTCCTCTTCCTACTGGGTCATTGAGAACCAAAGGTCTCGTTGAGGCCTCAGCACGAAGCGTGGATGTGCAAATGCCCAGCGGAAGGCAGCTGCTGTTTCTGCAGAGGGGAGGAAACTCCCGAGGGCAACTCTGGGCTTGTTCAGGCATCCCTAAGATAACCTCTGGGCTGACGGTGTCAGCCTCCAGCCTTGAAACTGTCATTAGTTCAAGTTCCAAGCCAGCCTTTCCGGGATGTCTCTGAGTAGAGGCCCCTATGATGACAGTGGACAGCTTCAGGTGCTGCGTGCTCCAGCCTCAGCCCTCAGCGAGCGCCTCTCTGCTAGCTGTCCCTGCGAGGCCTAGAGGTTGGGAGAGGTTCTCCAGGACCCCCAAACTATGACCGTCGCATAAAGCCATGTTTCTCTCCCCTCCTGCAACCCTCTTGTTTAATAAATACTTCCTTGGGAAGGTGAGATTAGATTTCTTTCTTCCCACATGCACGAAACTAATTAATTTAAAAAGAAAAAAATAAATAAATAAGTAACCAAAATCTGTCGCCTAGGGACAAGAAGAGGTTTTGTAGGAGACATGGAAAGAAATGAGGAAGCTCAGAGTCGAGAAAAGCTGCTTATGTGATACTGAGGTGGCCTAGAAAGCGGCTGGGCTGATGTCACCTCGCTGAACCTGCTCAGCCTCCACTTCCCAACTCTACTGCCACTTCCTCCAGGAAGTCTCCTCTGCTTGCCTTCCCTTTCCATGCCGCCACCCCCACGCTTTGTTTCAAGCTCAGCCTCCTGTGACCCTTTATGACATGCCATGACCAGCCAGCTCTTGCCTGCCTCAGACAGCAGCGAGGGCGGCAAGGACAGGGGCTGGCCTTCCTTTGGCTTGGTGCCCTTGGAGCCACCTCAAGGCCTGGGTGCTCGGAGCCTAGGGGCTGGTATGATTACTGCTCCTAGTCATTGTCACATTAATGAGAGGGACAATCAGCCTCTGAGCAAATGAATGGTGCGGGCGTTCCCTGGTTTGCACCTCGCCTCTCCCCACACGGGAAACTGGGCAGCACAGCAGCAGAACCTCATTAAGCGCTGATTAATTATGCAAAGTAGAGTCTTTTGTCACATGCAAATTGGGGGGTTAACCTGATGCATTAAAGAGCCGGCCAGGGCCTGGGGTACAAGACTGCAAGCCTTGTTGTGAGCATCACTGGGGCTGCAGCCGGTGGGAGGGGGTTCTCCAGCTCACAGAGTCTCCCATGCCCACCCACCCTCTGCCTGAGGCCTCAGATCTGCTCAGGGTGCTCCTCGTGGCCCCCGGGGGCCACCAGGGAGCCAGCGCTGCAGCCACCAAGACTGTGTGGATCAGCAGACACTTGGATTTTGCAGGCCGGCCCTCCGCCTTCACGGGGCAGAATCTGTGAGCGGCCGTGCCCTGGAAGCTCCACTTGCCCAGTGCGCTGTGTCGGCCCCAGCCTCCCCAGTAATTGCTGGCAGGATCTTCTTCCTCGTTTATACACGTTTAAGGCTCAGCTCGAGGGGAAAAATAGGCCACAAATTTCTTATCTTCCACCGAGGCAGCATGGGTGGTTGAGTCTGGGCTTGGTGGACAGACCACCTGGGTTCACGGCTCAGCCCTCGGCCAGCTGACTGGGTGGCCTGCAGCAGGCGTTCTCAGAGCTCTGCGCGTCCGTTTCTCCAGACGAGCAGTGGGGCAAAGCATAGGGCGCCTGCCTTGGAACTGCACCACGAAGAACAACGGGGATTAAGACCCAAGGAGCAGTCAAAACAGAGCCTGGTGCTCGATAAAAGCTGCGCCTGGGTTCTCCGTTCTCTTCCTAATGTGTGATGTTCATGGAAGGACAGTGACTGGGAAGGAGGGTGGTCTTAAATGTAACTCTGGGACCAGCAGATGGCATGATGGCTACATCGCTGGATTCCCACATAGTCGACCGTGGTTCAAGTCCTGAACCTGGCAGCTTAAAACTCACACCAGGTGCATGTGAATGCATGTCCGAAATCCCAAGAAGAGAATGGAGAAGGGATTGCAGCATGGCCAAGCCCCGGGGGGGGGGGGGGGGGTTTTTTCACTTTTTTTC